AAAAGAATTGTTAGTTTGTTAAAAGACCTATCCTTTTTATTCGTAAGTTTAAAATACCAAGAGTTTTTACAAGGGCTTTCAATAACAATGTAAGATATTTAATAATTAATATTTAAAGATAATTTAACATTATGCCACAGTTACAAACGTTTCAATCTGTATCTTTAATTAAAATATTGTGTATATTAGGTTGAATACAGAGACAATACCGGGAGTGCGCAGATCATTAAGTTGAGTGTATACCAAGTTTTATGTGCGATCATCATCACAAGTTGAGGAGATGTCAGACAGTGCTCAGTGCACTCAATTATATTATGTTACGCTCAGCTTAGCCTCTTTGTTTACATTTTATTTTGATTGCAGTATAATTACATAACAAGTCTATCGCCTTCTCTTATCTATGAGAATCATTATTGATATTTGCTTTAAAAAAAAACATAACGACTCCACATATTTTATGTAATTTGATTTATCCATCAAAATTAAAAATCTTGCGCATCATATGTAGTAAATAAACCACAATTAATTATCGCATTTTAAATTCAAACGCCTGCGAGAAAATAAACGTAACGCCTCCTTTGTGTTCTCTTTCCAAGTTCTTACAGGCGGTGTCTAACACGTGTGGTTTATCAACCATATTGCTGCAACGTTACTTTTCATCGCAAATTAATTAAATTAAAACTATTGTGCACACACACATGTTTATGTAGATACATAAAAACATATTCAAATAATTCTTCAAATGTTATTAACTAGATGTATCATTTTTTCGAGAAGCATTATGAACATACATACATGTTCGCATTTGTTAAGCTTTAAGGTGAAAAATGTCAAGAAAATTCCAAAGCATTTCACAACACAACACGACGTTGACAAAAGTCCGCGCAATAAAAGCGATATCTTTTGCTCGTCAAAGCGGCCGAGGGCGGGAGGGGGGGGTGGCGCAAGACAAATTGCTCACATCAGCAATAGATTTTATTGAAAACCTACGTTATTTTTATCGTTTTTTAAAGAATTGTTCTGTTGAAAAATGTTTAAAACGAACGCGCGGACAGTAAGATGAGTATGACAGTTGGGGTTATCCAATTAGAGCTCCGTTCTTGTGTAATAAGAACAAGGTGAGCATTAAAGGTGAATTAGCTTCCATTAGCAGTTAAACATAACTGCCGCTGAGCCGGCACACGGCGAACGGGGCGGCAAGCGGCGCGGCGAGCGGGGCGGCGAGCGGGGCGGCGGTGGCAGGACTATAAACAACACTTTATTGTATTTCGTTTGCAAGAAAATATTATATTAAAAGAATATAATGCGGAAACAAATCATGTGGTTTTATGATAACTTTTATATCATGATAAAAGTGACGTTACAACAGTTGCTGTTGCTACCTCTGCGAATCATATTCACGCACGTGACATGCAGGGGTAGACAGAGACTTTGCAAGTGGTCGTGTTACGATCTTGTTGATACCAGACATGGGTTACGGATTGAAGAATGGTGCGAATAGGGTTTCCTTTAATTTTAAACCTGAAACAGTAGTCGATCATTCTAACTTTAAACTTCATTCAATGTTTAAACTACGATTTCTGTTTGAGTATAATTAATTGTAATAATTTGTCAAGAAGTAATGTAAGTTGTGAACTCGCGCTCCGCAATGGTCGACATTCGAGTCCGGATTAAATCGCTATTTATACAAATGTTCACATTAAAACTTTGCACAGAACTTAATTGCCATTAAGATGTTACAATTTTTTCCATAATTTAGGTTTTTGACATTGAACGTGAAAAAGTTGTAACCTCCAAAGGGGCCTGAACATATTTTTTTATTAATGAATAGAAAGAAAACATTCAGAAGAATAGTTTATAAAATACAAGCGGTTTGATAAGTTGGCGCTAATTAACAAAATCTCGTTAAGTTTTATATCCAAGTCAAACATAACTTAAGAATTTAACTTACACTCTATATGAGAAGTAGAATACAACTTCATTCCCCCCTCCCTTCGCCCCGCACGACCTGATAACTTAAGTTAGAAAACTGCTGTAACTTAACTGACTCGAGGACAATATTTCAAAGTGACAAAGTACAAAAACGGATTATTTTGACGGCATTAATTTGGAGTAAATAAAATAACTACGTAGATATTACCGGAGTTCTGCTGACGACAAATTCTAAATAAACGAATGTATCGAATTTGAAATAAGTATTTCAATGTAATTGCAAAAGTTCAAATTGGTTTCCGAACTAAACACCATTCATTAAGATACATTTTGAATTATTCATAAACGCGTACATTTTCTATAGAAATTGCTTTAAAATTTAATTGCTTGTCGTTTCTTATTGAAAAGAAGAAATTTAAATAATCTACGTCATGAACTTTTTGCAAATATCTTTTGTTATTCATATTGCTTCATTAAATTCACGCTGTTCATTGATAAAGACAAGTTTAATAAAGTTTGTTGTATAACGTATTATATTATCTAAATTAACATTTAATTACAATCATTAGATATTTTAAAGTCAATTACAAAGCGTGTTAATTATAATTTTACGAGAAAATTGTAAATATTATCGTACGCAGCAGCAATGTAACCTGACTCCTGCCTGCAGAGCTTCATAACGACCTCTTTATTTCATTAAACATTCAAATTATGAAATCGTTAATCACAAAACACAACTTTACCAATATTTCTGTTAGTTTCCATTACAAAACACCTCAACAAAAAACATTGCCACTTTAAAAATACATATATTTTATATCATAAGTTAGCGAGCAAACTATCCATAGATATTCGTAATTGCAGATGCTTAGAAGATATGTTCCTGTCTCCGTTCAATTCACCTCCCATCCTTTTTCAATAAGAAAAGTGAAAGAAGGGAAAGAAAAATAAGGAATACGGAAAGAATATACATAGCGAGCAAACATTTTACAAGATTATAACAATATTTATAAGTTAAATCTTTAATGTGGGTAAATGTAACGTTTAATTGGTATTTCAGACTCAACCCAAGAATTCCCGAGGATCTTAAATATTTCCGTTTGGAAGCGCCCGCCTTAGCCCCCGGAAATATCCCCACGTCCTGCGCCCTGCAAGCTTCACTGAATACATTATACTCAGCAAATGGTAATCTTTACGTCACTTCTTCGAAGAAATGCTACAAGAATTCAACATAAAGTTGCTAAGGTCGAATGGTCTTATTCACAAATATGTAAATGCATTATATGAAAAACAGACAAAGAAATAACTCAAACCATATAAAATATTGTTTTATTTTGTACGGATGATTGCAGTGTAATCAAGGTGACATGTTTTTCAAATCCGTTTCCCGAATGTATATATATTTTAATTCGGACCAGCTCCGACCCTCAGCAACGGGACATCGTCAACTGACAGATTGTCAATATTTTCACCGACAACTTTATTAAATTACAGTCCACACACAATTTGTTTACAACATGTTCTGACATGAAAAATTAACACGTATACCTTGATGAAAAGAGTTACTGTTATAAATTGACCTTTTTTTGATGACACAAACAAATAAATAACAAAGTTATTCAATCGCTTTTTAATTTCTAACATTTTATTGTTTGATCTTTTAAGATGGATTCAGCCGTTCTTGTTGTTAACATCGCTGTCATATTTAAAGGTTAGTTTAAAGCTTTCATACGTCCTGATATAATTGATGCCAAATCACTGCCGATATAAAAATAAACAATACAGTTTTTACAATATACTATATATAATTCCAAAGACCAATTTCCCTGTTTAAAACATATTGTTATATCTGTTTTGTCACAGATAAAATACAGGGATGACAATATGTTTTATTTAGAGATTCTGATATCGGAAACTGAAGTAGAACGTAACACTCCTAACTGATTAATGTTTTAAATATAAATCTTATGAATATATAAATCAGTAGCTGCGCTGTTGCCGGCGTCTGTCTACGCGCTTTGTGACTCTACACGTGTGAAGAGGATAATCCTCAAGCATTATCACCTCCCAGTGCGTCTAGCTAATTATTAGCCTGTACCGTATACATGTTGTTGTATAAAATAACGAAGTTTTGTATAATAACAGACAAATTGCAAACTACGCAACTAGTGCGCGGAGACGAGCCTCGCCGACCTCAGTGAGCAAATACAAGGTTAATTCAATTATTGCCAGCAGTTGTACCAAATGAGATGACTTGATCTAATATAAGACGATATGGAACAACAACACAATCACTCCCGTAACACTGAGGAATAAACAGAGATACGAACTTTCAAATCTATGTACGCATGCTCATCGATTTCGGTGCTCTTAATATCGTCCTTTCTATATATAAATAATGAGATAATCGTCAACTGTGTTCAGATGCGCCTAACATCACGTACTGTGACGTCATCGTTGGCTACTCATCTCCTATCTTCGTAAATTAACACTAGAGATTGCCGACAGACTCGCTCTCTTATCATTCTTATTTCCCCCGGTTTTGTTTTTTGTTCCTATAAGATGACTTTGGAATAAAATTAGCATGAATTTTCATTTTTAATTATATAAATGTAACATACGGCAGCTGTGCTGTATGCATGTAACTTATCTAGTATTTCCTTTTGTAGGCCACAAAAATGTGTGACTAAAGTTACAAGACGAATTAACATTTTTTTTCTAAGACCAAAATCTCTATATAACATATCGTTATCCCTGTCTTTATCTTTGACAAAACAGAGATAACAATATTTTTTAAACGGTATTTTAGATCTCAGAAAGCTACGGTAAGTCAATGATACGTTATAATGTAACAATCAAATTGATAATTTACAATATAAATAGACTTTAATGACTTTATTAGTGAGTACATTTTGTGTGTTACCTCACGTCACGTAGCTACCGAGCAATAAGCACTGTACAAATACCTGCGCCCCATTCACTAGATTACTGCGTATTAACTCTGACAATAATTGTCTTGTGATGCAATAAATGTTTTTATGTTTATGACGTTAAGAATTAAGTTGGTATTGATAAGAGCGCGCGTGTTGTGTGAGAGATGTAGTCGAGTCGTCGCAGTGTTTGTGAGCGGCCGAGGAGCGAGGTGAGTGGTGACTCGTGAGTGCTGAGTGGTGAGTGTGCGCGCCCGCAATGGTACAATGGTCTATACTCTCACTGAAAATAAGGACCCCGGTCAAAAGAACATTGTTGTTTGGAAACAATATTTAATATCTGTTTTCGGTGAGTTATATATTTTGTTTTTAAAACACATTAAATGATCTGTCAATTTTAATTGAAAAACATAATGATTATCAATATACTTAAGATAAGTTTTATGAGTGGATTGTACAAAGACTTTCTCAAACTATGATTAAAACATAAACAAAATAGACGGATGTAACTAGTACGTGACATCAACTTTGTTTACAAAAATGCCTACTGTTTAATTTTTATGAACAGTTTATGTTTATGATGAGTAAATCGTGCAAGTTTGTGCACGAACTGGCTATCTATGAAATTGTCTACATTTCAAAACATTATTTTACAAATAATACAGTAGCATATGCACTAGAATATCTGCCAACTACACCTTCAGTAAGAAGACATATTGGTGAATTACGGTCACACGTCCCGGCCAATGATTGGCTCCAACCGGCGCTGGCGACCAATTGAGTTCATATTAAGACGTTATGCCACAAGGACGACTAATAGCTCTGCTAGTAGTGTATCGAACGAAAAACACTAACAAATGTCGAATTATTATACTATATAATTTTTTTTATTATTCTCTTCTAAGATTCATCGGTTATCCAAGATGTGCATTTGATCACTAGCTTGCAAGAGCAAAATAATGTAGAGGTCTACTGCATTAATGTAAACGAGCGACTGTATTATTTGATTGTAATAGATCTATAACATCACTATAAGAAAGATCTATTTATAATTGTTTCAGTCAGCATTCCATTCATAACACATGGAGTAGAAAACGAGTTGCTGAATGCTACGTCACACCTCGCTCCGGTTATAGCGGCGGCGCACGTGCCATGGACCGAGGTTACCTTCCTCCTGGCCGCATTGGTCTCCGCGCCCGCACACGGCATCCTCATAGACAGACATGGCAGGAGAATTGGCATTTATGTATTAGTGCTGTTACAAGGGGTGAGTACACTTTAAAATTACTCTTAAAATATAAGATTACAGAAAGAGGCTGTGATATCAAAGACTTTTTATAGTAATTTTGAAAGACGTTAATTCATAGTTATGGTTGGAACTAATGTATCATAATATACTTACTAGACATTTGCTTTAAGGTTTATAGAATCCCATAAGTCTTTGAATCTAAAAACACTGAATTGCTCCATTTATCATTTAGCTGGGTATGATAGTAAGAGTACAGACGGACACTTCTAAAACAGTAAGTTTGTCTTTCAACATGCAGATGACGAGCGTGCCCCTGCTGTTCTCGACGTCGGAGTTGAGCGTGTTGGTGCACGCGGCAGTAGCGGGCGTGGCAACAGGGGGCCTGTTCCTCGTGCTGCCGGTCTACGTGCGAGAGGTCAGCGGCGACGCGGTGCGGGGAGCCACTCTGACGCTTATGATGCCCATGACGACACTTGGAAACGCCATGAAGCTGCTACTCACCTTCGACCAGATGCTGTTTTTGGTGCTCGGTCTTGTTGCATTGGAACTCCTCGTCGTCTTTCTCATCCCAGAAAGTCCGGCGTACTTGGTTAAGGCTGACAAAGTTGAGGTTAGTACAAATGTAACATTAATTTTGACTTTGTTTTCTTATGTCTGCATTCTTCGTCTTTACCAAAAAATCCTGCCACATTAAAATTTTATAAATATAGAACATTTTGCTAATCCCTTGTGATGAAATTTTACTTTTCGAGATATCAATTTAGTTTTTATGACAAACAATATTTTCGGCAAAAAATCATGTATTTCAGATGTTCATGAAATTAAATCTTTAAATGCAATATTTTTCCGTTACAGGATGCTAAAGTGGCTGCTGCGAAATTAATGTGCTCACGCAATGACGACCCTTTCGTTGTCGATGATATTAGAAAGTTAAAGGAAGAGAGTGATAGGGCTAAAGCAAATGGAAAACTTACTATATTTCAAATACGTAAGTTGATCTACATATGTAATGTATGAATTAAAGAGTCTACTTGATAACAAAGTCATAACTCAAAGTGATCATTCAGTATTTTAATTTTGATTTCATTTTTCAATATAACTGGTAAGTAATAAATTACAATTTACAACTTGAATTAAAATTAAATGATAGTAAAAACATATATTTTCAGTGAAGAACAATATATACAGGGACGAAATAAAGATAGGATTAGTGTTAAACACGACGATGGTGCTAAGCGGTAGCTCCATCTTCCTTCAGCCGGAGAAAACGCTGTCAGGTCTGGGCGCCGACGTCGACCCGCGGCGACTGCTCGTACCATTGTCGTTGTTAGCCGGCGCCGCGTGCACTGTAGCATTAGGTCACTTCGTTGAGAGAAAGGTAAGTTACTAAGATATACTATCAAGCTATACATAAACATAAAAGAAAGCTAATTTCCTACAAATGTTTGAGTTTATAAGCGTACAGTTAATAGTTACTGCTTACTACTAGTACGTGGTAACGGGAGCATGCGGCGTCATGGTGTTGTCAATGGGCACTCTGGCGGTGTACACGCAGGCCGGGCTCGCGGTGACGTCACTGCGCTGGGCTCCACAAGCCGCCCTCGCGCTGCTCGTCGCCGCCTATGGCATGCTCTGGGCCCTGCCCACACTCATACTGGTCGACATGCTTAATGTGGAGGTACGCACTATACTATCTGTACGGATAGATACTTTTCCTTTGTTCCGATTTAAACAATTAGTAATTCCTGACAGCATACCGACCACAACCAACAGCGCCAAAATGCCGTAAATCAAGTAGGCGTAAAATACCTCAGCTTATAGCCTGTCCAATTAACAGAGGGCGGTGACTGTTATTAAATTTATTTGCATTTGATTTTATGAAAAGCCAGTTTAAACAATTTTCCATAAATCTGTAAAATCGATAATAAATTAATCATATTCACGGCTACAAAATAAAATTACATTTCAGATCCGAGTAAGGGCTATGGTGGTAGTGTACGTATACAGTCAGATGATAAAGCTGGCGCACACGCTGACCTTGCAGCACATAGAGGAGTACGTGGGCGTGTACAACCTGCTGTACATATGCGCGGGCATCAACACGCTGGCCGGAGTGTACGCGCTGAGTACTCCGCCCGCCGCCAGGGGGCGTACAGTGCGACAAATCGAGCGCCAGCTGCGCGCGCGCCGCGTGCCGCTCTGCCAGTTATGATATACACCTATTTTATACATATCACATGACTTTTATTATGCACCTTACTGTAGAAAAGTACTGTCATTAAAGTAACTTTAGTCAACTAAGCACCTCGTTAAGAACTCGGGAGAAGAGTAGAGCTTTATCCCTCTCTCTCAGGAATGTGGCGCTGCGTGGGATACAAGTGACTCTCTTAAAAAAATGTTCCCAGGACTCTAGTGAGATATACAAATACAAATTGACATTGATTGGGATTGTAATGGCATATAAATTTAAATGGAAAAGTCTTTAACGTCTTATTTCCCGAATAATTGCTTTATGATTGTATTAGAGTGAAGTCGGTTTGAAGTCCATAGGCTGTTAGCCAATAACGAAGCTTTTAACCAAGAACAAAGGCGCGCGGGAACGAGGAGCGATAAGGGGAGGGGGGGTAGGAAAAACCTCTTTCTACTACATTACCAACAGTTAATTGCATTAAACCGAACCTGGAATTTCAATCAAAACCAAAAAATTATCAATGTAAAGTTTACTTCAATGTAATATTTCTTGTGCTAATGTGTCTCAACATTTAAACATAAAAATTAATTTTATTACAAGTTTAATTTGTTAATACTATTAACTAATCTCCATGACACGTATGTACGTGTTGATACGTAATCCTTCAGAGCACTGCAATTAGATTTGTCGTATTCCAACATGACATAGCATATCTCCGGCAGTCAAACATCTCTGTCATCCAACAAACACCACAAGGATATGTTAACAAATGTTCACCTGCAAATATGCTACAAAGTGAAGTACAGAACAGTGTAAACGTAGCCGATAATCATCAACAACTTAACTTTATTTACAAAACACGTTCACGGTTTGTTTAGTAAACTCCAGCTACAGCACATTACCGCATCAACAGTCACCAACACGTAAGTCGTTGCAATGAGTAGACATTACAAAAGTGCTAATGTGCTTCTCATACTGTGTCTGCATTTGGCACATGTGGCACAAATACGCGCGCAGTCGGCGCTCAGCGACGAGGACGCGTATGCGGCGCTGCTCGACCGCAACACCGTCACCGACAAGAAACACTTCCCCTACGTGGCGGCCGTGCTCAAGATGACCAGCTACCTTAGCGCCGGTGCCATGATCAAAGACAACTGGATACTCACCGCCGCTGACGGACTCTACCTGTACGTATCGCGCTAGTTCAGCACCGCCACCAGCAACGTAACACAATGGAAATTATTGTGCTACGTACGTTAATGTTCACAGCCTGAAAGAAAGCACAACTAGTTAATACTGAATTTTTTTTTCAATTTTTTTTAAAGAAAGCGCAGAGTTAGTTTCTACTACAAAACCTTCAAACTAAGCGAGAAATCTGTTTAAGTCAGTACTCTGTGTATAACACGCTACTAATTTGTTACTTGACCTAGTTATGTATTACATGGCAATAGATCCCTTTTCACAAGCCGGCCTGCGCCCTGCGACCTTCGCCCGTCGTAACCGATACGATTAGCTAAGGTCGAGAGGACTCTGTGTGCACTAAAACTGAACGGACCAGTTATATATATTACGAGTACGACAAACTTAACTATGTAATTTCCTCTTATCGAATATGTTTTTTAGTCATTAATAAAATAAATTTATTTTCGGGGAATTTAGGGAAATATGACATCAAAGAAATATGTTAAAGGGATTATTTTGCATCACTTTAAAATTACTTTTATGATATTCGAACATACGTTAGGAAAGTCTCTAACCAACAATCTCGGTATTATTATAATATTTTACTACTAGGTAAACGATAGTAGCCTCCGTAACACATGCCACTTGCGTGCAGAGTACGAGAGTCTGTGCGGCTGCTGCGCGTTCGGCTGGGCAGCGTGAACTACAAGAAGGGTGGGACGCTGGTACCCGTCAAGTACCTTCGCATCCATCCGTACTTCGACGACCGCCGGCCCGAGTATGACACCGCGCTATTGCGTCTGTCCGTAACCACGCGGCCCTCACCCTCCGCGCGCCCTGTGCGCCTACAGCGCAAGCTGCGCCCCGTCACCGCCGCCCACTTCACAGTTACCGCCTGGGCACCGCACTACGCCGTCAGTACTACAATTACTAACGTATTACACATCTACATATAAGAAGTTCTTAGAAGGCCTGCATCGAAACAAACATCGCCTGTTTTTTGCAGAACCCCACGGCGAACAGTGACAACGTGCACGAGTCCCTGGAGACGATCCGTCGCGCGCGCAACCTGCAGGTGCAGCAGGTGCACCCACGCAGCGCTACCGACTGCCAGCGCGAGCAGCAAGAGCTGGGCCTCAACGCCAGCGCCGGCTTGCTCTGCCTCGACCCACTCGCCGACTCTGTTCCTTGCCGGGTGAGCGCACTACAACTGCCATTGCAGTGGACGAAGCTAATTAGTATCTCACGCAAAGCAGGGTGCGATGACTCGAGATATGAAACTCGACCTTTGGCTTCAAGACCTAAAAAAACATCTCATTGTCTGATGTCATTGTCCACCAGTGGAAGGGCCCAGTGCTGGTGAGTGAGGCTTGGGTATGTTTGCAGCGGGACGCTGGTGCGCCGGTGGTGCTTCGCGGCGTGTTGTGGGGCGTGGTATCATCCTGGCGCTCGGCGGGCTGCGGCGCGGGGGACGGCGCCGGGGCCAGCTTCGTCAATTTGGTGGCGGCGCCCGACATAAGCGCCTGGCTCGACGCCGTCACCCGCGATTTTCACTGGAAACTCAGGGAGATCAACTTTGACGATGACAATTTCATATGACTTTATTGTAATAAATGTTGTTTAAATATATTCATGTCACTTTTAGTTTTTTTCTGCAATAAAATAATGTCGGTTGTAAATTTAATTAAGTTGAGGGAACAGAGCTAAGTATGTACTTAATCTTAAATCATCAAATCTTATGAAAAAAAAACTGTTTCGATAAGGTGAACACGAGTATTCTTCACTTCTCCAATCTATTTTCAGGCGAAGTTATTCATACTGTAATATACATATATATGTAAGTAGTACTTATAGAACTTGTTAAAGTTCAGTAAATAACACAATACAAATATAACAACACTGCTAATATACCTCGCAATCTGCAGAGAGTTATAGTTGAGTGGAAGACGCAGATGTATATATGTACGACGAGTACGATGTTGTTGTTTGCTTCACGATGCGAGTAATGATTGCGCTACAACAGTGTGTTTGTGGCTTGTCGTCACGATACATTATTAATTTGGTGTTTCCGCACAGCGCTGATGGGAAACGTCTTTGGAACGTGAATTAATTATTATAAACCTGTTTGCTGACACGGAAAACAATACGCGCCCACCTTTTGTAATTTGAAGTTATTACTTTGTTTCATTTATTTATATTAATTTAATCATAAGCTGGAATAATTTATCCCGAGAAGAACGGAAATCCGTGACGTTTGAAGCATTCCATTTCCTGGGTTAGACGTGCTCTTATTTCATTTATAAGTTTCGAAATCTTGTTCAGGATAGAGAAGAGATCATTTTTAAAATAACTGCGGCTTCCAAATGAATGTGACACAATAACAATATCTGTAGTCATTGTAACTTATCAGTGTAAAATGTATGTATGTAAATAAAAAACTAATTACTGCTTTTACTTGGTTCCATTTCAAAAAATATTGCGAAGTTTTGAAATACGCACTGCTTATATTATAATATAATATTTTCTTTAAATACTTATTTTTATGAAATCGGAAATTATTTCGTTTGAACGCCATCTTTTGGTTTAAAAAGATCTCCTACAGAAATAGTTTTTTTAATAATTTGAAAACGGCGTAAAGATTCCGCTATTCGATAATAGATGGCACTGTAAGGTTTTAAGTCATTGGGTTTGATGACTATTCATTTTCTTTGCGTCGTTGGTTCTTATTTTTCTAGAGATGGATCCGTAATACAATTTTTGTTGTTCGTTTGTGAAATAGAATCTTTGGCCGATTCACTTGTTTTCAACATCAGTTACAATTTACATACACACTTACTTATGACAATAATTATTATGAGAATTTGACAAATAAAGTATAGAACCAAATAACTTTTGTTTTCGAATTGTTTTGTCCATTTCGTTCAATGTTGCACTCAAACCCTTCATTCTAATCCAAATATTATAATCTAATAATTTAAAAGACTATAGCGACACTAGCGCCATCTTTTAGGCTGGTACTGAACGACGTTTCATTGCAAGCTTTCGCTTTCATCCTCCTGTCTAGCAGACTGATACGATGTTTTAACGAAATAAAAACACAAAAAGATTTCTGACTATTTAATATAAAAACACTAATTCTAAAAATACATCAATATATACAAATATGTTTAAACACATTTAATATTATTTTGTATGATGGAGGAAGATATTTTGTACGAATGATCACATCCATTGTAAAAAAAATACATCCCAGCTGCATTAAATCAATTACCTAATTGTATACATGTCTGTAGTTTTTAATAATAAATATTATAAAGCCTGAAAAGTTATTAAATTAAAATTTAATAGTGTTTAAATATGATTTAAGGTTAACATTGCTTTTGAAAGAGAAATTCGTATAAAATCAATACATATATAAGGAAAAGGAATCAAAGTGTTGCTCGTCTTCAATCACAATACGATGATGGATTAACGGACGGAAAGACGAACTGTGTTGTCGCAATTCCGTGTACATATTTATCCCTCATATAATTTATATTGTCAACATCAATTTTTATTTTATTGGTACGTATAAAGTTCTTTAGTTTTAATACGTTTGTTATCGTTATACTAGAATTTAGCTACCTATCTTGTCTTAAGTTTTTAAATATATTTGAAAAAAAAAGACTAATTAGATTATTATAATGGATATTTTATATATCGTTTTGTTTTTATAATTTTCTAACAGATGGCGTTAGATGTACAGTAAAACAAATTAAATAAAAATCATTCATTAGGAATTATGGTCGAATTTCGAAAAATGCGTGACTATAATTATGACAATTCTAGCACGCCCAGGAACGCTATCACATATATTATTCAAAACTACAAAATATTAAGTCACAGCATATCAAAACTTTGTCATTTATGTGTTTATCTAACTGTACACATACTTGTCTCTACAAGTATTTACGATTCGTATAAATTCAATTTTATATAAGTTAACTATAGCACTTATTATAATCATGTTAACATTTTATACATAACGCATTATTTACTATGAAAAGCTAAACTGTTGTTACATATGTATACAATTAAATAGTTTAAACTATTTCCAATACATTTGACAATTATTTAATATTTTGAACTGTTTTTATTACGTTATTACCAATTTAATTACACAACACATGTGAATGTTGACCAATATTTTGTATGGAAAAGTTTAAAATTGATTTACGAATTGCTGATTTATCGATGTCCGAACCTGTAATACAAGAACATTCGATGATGAATCTCTACGTGTAAAGCTAAAAACATACGTGTTAAATTATAACTGTTACGGTTACATTTCGCTGTATACTACTTGGTTTAAGTGTACATCTAGGACATGTATGTATTCCTATATGCGTTCCCGGCAGCTGGAGCTGCGGGATGACACAGGTACCCGCCGACGAGCCGCTTGCTGCGCGAGGCGGTGCGCGACGCCGAGCGGGACCTACTCGAGCTGGTCAGCGCCTCATGTTCCTGCGCCGAGCAGCAGAACGCGCGTCGGAACTCACGCCGGTACTTGCCTGTAAGACGATTTTTTTAGCATTTCAGTGAATACGGTCTGCGACACTATGAGAAAGAACATCCATCGAATGACAAGTTTTATGTACTAGAGAGCTACATTGAACCAGTTGAGTATATTGTATAGTATAGTGGACTATAGTGAGAGGAGAGTACTGACCGCTCATGAAGTTATAGATGAGGGGGTTGATGGCGGAGTTGGCGTAGCACATGACGTGCGACAGCAGCGCAACACACGTCACAACGTCGCTCTGCTCCATATCCAGTGTGTACCTAGTACCACATCACATGACACCACATTATAACACCTTGCACATACGTTAGAGCAGGGGGAAATTGGGGAATTTTTTATACTATAAAGCGGCAAACGAGCAAGCTGCCACGGAATCTGACAAAATAGATTTATGTACGCATGTATGTAACTGCAGATGCGTTGGTACCATTAATCGACGAAGGAGGAGACGCAAAAAGAGAATATTTCCCCTTCCTATGCCCCTCCATCAAAACCACCTTCCCTTCCCATTCTTCCTTTAAAAGACACGGGGGACGAGGGTAGGGAAGAGAACTAAAATTAGGATATATACAAAACGCGGAATAACTTCAACTTTATGTTTTTTGTGTTGAAATACAGTAAAAGTTACCAATTGCGATGTTACATTAAAGTGAGATGTGATTTAATAAGAAGCATCTAATAATAAGAGTCCAAAATTAAGCAAACATTGGTCTCAACCAATGTTTGCTTAATTTTGGACTCTTATTATTCACCGTCTCAACGGTGAGGTGTCGAGGTGTCGAGGAGACGCGACACATAAATTATCACGCAACTACTACTGTTTGCTCCGACCACACACATTGAGTAACACTATAATGTCCGCAGTACTGCTTGTTTGATTACAGGGCAATTTTTTATTCAATCTCCGTCTGCTAGTGCATTAGTTTGTGTTTTCATTCGGTTTCTGATCTGACTGATCTCTATTTACTGGGTTGTTTAAATATAAAAACTCTAATCAGATTTGATTAAATTATCGGTCACATTAGGATTTGAAAATTTTTTACTTAGCTCAAACAGACAGAACAGACAGAACAGAGCAGTAAACGACTGAATTGATATAGAAGACATCACATACGTAATAAGTAGTAAGATAATTAGACTAGAACCTTATTAAATACACAGCGAACTCATGATTATCCATAGATCTGTAGCGCTGGAAGAAAGCGAGCATAAAATAAATACTCGTAATTTCATAAAGACGGTGATATTGTCTCACAGGTAATAATATAGTTACCATAAAAGGTTTTATTGTTTTAGGAGCATTATTAAATGTACATAGGAGATGAGAGGTCGTTGAACTTTGCGACTTGAGGCACAACAAAGTACAACGCACTGTTGCTTATTATAATATTTATTATTTCGTATTCTATCTAATACAGAAATATTTAATAGTTAATATCTTTATTGAATAAAAGTGTTTGGAAAATATTTATTTATTTATTAGAAATTGTGTTGTAAGCTTTATATTATTATTTTTTTATATCATAAGGTGGCAAACGAGCGAGCGGCGACTCTATAATATAAAAAAATCGCTGAAATAGCGAAGTGACCGTTGCCCGTAGACATACGCAATTGCATATGCGTTGCCTACCTTTAATCGACGGAGGAGAGGATCCACAGAAAGAAAATATTTTCCCTTTCCATGCATCCTCTCATCCGGAAAGTCTACTACCACACCCCATCCTTTCCTTATAAGAAAAATGGTGGGAAGGGAAAGAGAACTAAATTAGGCCTCCGGGACACACACTCATCAGACGAAACGCGGAATTGCTTCCACTGGACGTCTGTCTTCTGTGTGGTCGTGGTATTTCACCGGGCGAGCCGGGACAATTCGTGCGAAGATGTAAAAGCGGGCTCTACCACTGTTAAGAAAATTAATTATACCAACAGGTTTGACGATTAGTTTTATTTTTATGTCCAGTCATCAAAGTAATAGATTTCCGCAAAGGAAGGATCGTAGTAAATTTAAATTGAGACCATAATTATCAATTAAAGTTCTCAACTGCTTTCCATGTATAACAGTATATCGTATCGACAATAAGAAACCTGAGGCCTCCAACATAGTGTTAAAGTTTGAGAATAAATTTGCATATTTACAAATGTAATGATGTAAATAAAAGGGTTTGGTGCGGACTGACCGACCCTCACCGCCCCTCGCCCACACAACATTACTGTTACATTAAATATTACATTAATTTACAATAAAACAAAATTTCAAGAAGCAATCACTTGAAATATCGGATACTACAATATATTTCGGAGCTCTTTAATTTAAAACCCTTCCGTCTCTCAGGTCAGGCCTTTAATAATGACTTTTTCATTTGAAGCGATGATACTCGTACAATTAAAATACAATATTGAAATAAAGCATTATTAGTATATAATATGTTGTCGCTCGAGCAGCTCCGCACCACCCTACGTGCCGTTAATAAAGAACCCAAACGGTGAGTTAAATAATGAAGCCTTCACTCGATATTTGATCTCGTTTCAAATCGAGATGCGAATTAAATTTAGTTACAGAAAATTACGTCGTCTTTTGTTTCAACCCACGCTATCATATTCTGCTAACTCATCGGTACTTACCTAATGATGTAAATATTGTTAACTTAGTCAAAAAACATTTAGCGATTTATTACAAATCACGTTATATCCTGGTTTAATATCTACAACATTTCTGCTAAAACCCTAAACAATTAGAGCACACACAAACAAGCGATAACTACTAAGAATTTTTCGAGATATGAAATGAATAATAATAATAACAGTTTAACAGTGGTAGAGCCCGCTTTAACATCTTCGCACGAATTGTCCCGGCTCGCCCAGTGAAGTATCACGACCACACAGAAGACACGCCTCAAGTGGAAGCAATTCCGCGTACAGTCTGATGAGTCCCGGAGGCCTAATTTAGTCCTCTTTCCCTTCCCACCCTTTTTCTTATAAGGAAAGTATGGATAGTGGAAGTGGACTTTCCATATAAGAGACGAAAATATTTTCTCAACACAGGCAACGCATATGCAATTGCGTATATCTATGGGCAACGGTCACTTCGCTATTTCAGCGATTTCAGGTGACCGCTCGCTCGTTTTCCACCTTATGATATAAAAAAAAATAATAAATAAAGTAAACAAACCTGAGTACAGAGAGCAGATGCACGGGGAAGTAGCAGACAGCGAACATGGCGACCACAGCCACCAGCATCTTGGCCGCCTTGCGCCGCGACCGCAGCTGACCTATGTAATATATGCTTCATTAGGGGTGACATAAACGGACTGATTCAAGTAGTCGGTATCTGAAGCTTCAATTAAAACTATCAGCCTCTGAAGGACGCCATACACGGACCGGAGTTTGCAGACGCATCGCTTGAAGAAGAACATCAGCAGGTAAGGACTTTAAATTATTTGAGTTGCACAAAGCAATGGAAACATTTCACATGAAAGCAATCACAGTCGTCGCGTGAACAGATCGTAACGATGCAATCAATTTCACGATCGACGTTTAAGCGAGACACTTTGTGTGAGCGAAAGATAAAATCTCTCGCCATTATTTCCAATTTGTGAAAGCATCGTCGCCGAATATTATCGATGATTTACGTCAATCGCCTTTCGTCCATAGTAATTGAGGATAAAAATAACATGTTCACTGTTACATAGATTTAGTTTACGGTAATATCAGGAAGGTAATGTTTTTCGCGGCTCAGTATGTTTGTATAAATGTGAGGTTATGTATGTATGTACATACATGTTGTCAGCTATTTATACTGATACAATCCGGTCGTTAATTCCACTCTATAGTTATCGCAAAATGAAAGCATTCGTAAGAAGACATGTCGCGGCTGAAACATTGTTAATTATAGCTATTAGACAACGGAAGCACACCTTCTTTCCGCGCTCTACTGCGCCGCGCCGCCGCTTTAATTACAACGCGAGTTTCGTACCTTTCATTGGACAAACACTACGCAAATTCAAAGTACATCAAGCAATTTTTTTATATCATAAGGTGGAAAAAGAGCAAACGGCCACATGAATTCGCTGAAACAGCGAAGCGACCGTTGTCCATAGATATCCGAAAGCTGCCTTGAATCGATGGAAGAGGGAATGCACAGAAAAACGCAAAGTACTTTAATGTGACGTAGGAAAAGTAATACTTTTTATTTAAAGCAATAATGTTATATGAGTTATATTGTTGTGTATTTTAACAATGTTTACGTTGACTAACGGGTGTACCATTTCCGGGGCGAGGCGGCGCGGGGGCAGGGGCCGGGGGGAGGGGGCCCGGGGAGGGGGCGAGTTGTCTCTAAGCTACATTTTTGTTTAATTTAATTACAATAATATTCAAAATGTATCACGCTTTTTTATCAGAAGCACAAACGTTCTAATTACATCTAATTGATTTTCTACTCATGTAAAAAAATTCAAAAGATTTTATAGTTAAACAGAAAGTGTCCGCAAATTGTTTTAGATTTGATACAATATTTGTAAATAGAAATATTCATATTTTATAACCTTAGTTGTAGCATTATAATAAAAGTAATAAATATGGAAGAATTTAATTTTAAAGAACGAATATGCAGACCTTTTTTATTTCATTGTAAAAATATAAGTAAATATACATAATTATCTTTATATAATGGCGAGCTCGGCTGCTCACAATATTATTTGCCGCCGATATTTCTTAGTATAAGGCTACAGTTTGTATTTGTGTTGTGATTCAATTAATCATGTTATAATTTTTATATAATATTTTATTTTATTGAAATTCTTTGAAATTGTGCGAAGACTAAATCAAAATATTTAATCTATGGTATTATTATAATCATATTATATATATATAACTACAATATTACATATAAATTAAATAATAATGTGCGCGAGTCAGCAGTTTGGAATTCGTGAGCTAATTTACCTGTTGCCAATTCACTCGTACGGAGCAATATTTTACGATGGTAACCAATCGACGAGTCAACATCGAAATGTTTTATATAAACATTGCTCCATTTTATATTTGTTTTTGATTTTTTTCTTTTATATATAAAATCTTAAATACTTTTAACTGCAAACAACTCTCTAAAATACCCATTAAAAAATTGTTAAAACTGGCTTGGTATTCAGTGGCACTCAGTAACTTAGTGTTCTTGTGGTTTTAATATTCATATTTGATTTTATTTTTGGTATCTAATAATATTGTTAACTTTGTTCGAAGCAAATATAGAATGTTTACGATTCTGATGAAAATGAAAAGACAACACTAACTCATTATGTTTGTTGATATTTATATACAAAAGTTCTGAGGCTCATGTAATCAAATATTAACAGCTGAGCAGTGGACAAACTTTGCAACATGATTTACTGAGAGTTTTGGGAAAATATGTATGTATCGTTTGGTTACGTAAGACATGTCTAGAATTAAGGTGATATGTATCTACATGTCCACTTTAAATACTAATAAGAAGAGATGGGAAGGGGAGTTTGATTTAGCCGCATAGGAAGGGATAATTTCCTCTTTCTGTGCGTTTCATTTATTCTTGCAGGGCGCGTGACTTACTTTGTTCCGCGGTAGCGAGTTTGACTGTCTCTGCCTGTCCTGGCACGTTGTCGGCGCGCCACAGCACGCGCACGATCTGCCGGTACGCCACCGTCATCACCAGCAGGGGGATCCTGACATACACAACAACACTCTCCATGTGTACCTCTCCACAGCAGTGATATGCACATATTGGCATCCCTCACTTTCTTTTTAAAATAACAGAGACAACAATATGTGTCAATACATGCATGTCTCAGCAGTCGAGACCCACAAATAGTTTTCACTGTTTTCATAGTTTATTACCACAAGCTTAAGACAGTAACGCTTCTACAAACAAAAGTATAAAGAACACATGTGAACACAGTATCGTCGCGAGACATCACATGCTCTCATTGAGCATGGCTTAAATAAATCCATCGCCGCCAAATCAACGTCAGAGGCTTAACGACTTCCATTATCGATATAAATTTATGTGGATCGAACTAAATTCGTACTCATGTGTAAATAAACTAGATCAAACCCGAAACTAACTTACCATCATGTGTAAGTAGCATAAGTAGGTTACTACCAAGAGTGACCGCGGAAATTGGTCGCATCCATCAAACACCTCTGCCAGATTCTAAGATGTTGGCTTTACAATTGACTTCATCGGTCTTTCAATACCACGAGCATTGGCAATAGAGAATCGGTACTCACGTGTAGATGAAGAGGACCTTGATGACATGCCACACGAGGTCGCTGGTGGCAGACCAGGTGGGCATGCACTGCACCAGCAGCCGCAGCCCAAAACGCAGTGGCACTGTCTGCACCGTCGTCAGCACAGCCAGCTCGGGCGCGTCTGATGTCATACACACGTTACACAACAATGATAACTACACGGTAACTTCTGGATGTGCCTGATAATAGTTATATGTATAAAGGGTATGCTTACTAAAGACGAGAGAGACGGTCCATATGATGAGTATGGCGGTGGTGGCGCGACCCGTGGTTGACTTGAACTCGAGCGGGAAGCAGACGGCGTACCAGCGGTCCAGCGAAATGAACGTCAGCGTCAGCACCGATACTGTCACTGACACCGACTGCATACACACACACACACACACATAGAAAATGTTGCCACCTTGAACTAGAAATTGTGAGAAATTATTTCTTGAGGTTAACGAAAATTATAACGTTTTTAAAGCTAGTCAAAGCTTATAAAATTTAATATTATGCTTTAAAAGACTAGCTATGGGAAGATGATAAAGGGACCCCCTCCATATTTCTGATATTGTAAGGGCTTACAACAGCGAACATTAGCGAGTGTTAAGTCCGCCTGTTACATTGCTACGTTACGCGCAATTTGTGTAAACAATCCTTGAACACATGGAAGTTTTAAATTTGAATTGGATATAAGTTTCCGTGGAGCGAGTGGCAGAACGGCTGAGCGGGTGTTAATGTGTTATTGCGTTACAAACTCCCTAATATTGGCGACTTGTTGATTTTATCACATTAAAGAGCGCAACACCACTCGCTACAAACTCGTTCTCGTTTACTGAACATAAACAAATTATGGATTACCATAGACATTGTTTATGTTTGTATCCGTTTATTTTAGTGATGATGAGGCTCGAGCTCAACATAAATTTACATTCCGTACAGATCTCCTCACAATATTCGAAAATATGCAACATTTTTTCGCACGTCCGTTATGACGCGCACCCAATGTTTGAATGAGCCTTCACACCTGCTTTATTCTCTATAAATTATATATTGTGTGGACATTGTTGTTGTGATAAGTCTATTTTAAATTAACTTTTCCAACTTCTATCTACATTATTATTTGTTTCAATATAAAATCATTCATCTCACGTCAGAGTCGACAAGTTTATGAGATTACAAGTTTCTTTGTTGTTGTTTGAGACAAAAGACAACGTACATAGTTGTTCGCTTTACAAATAAAATACCTAAAGATTTATTCAAGTAAATTAACATCTGCAATTATTTGCTGAAAATATTAGAGTGAAAAGAGACGTAAAAAGCAAAAAGGATGCAAATAGAGCGTCACTAAACGAGGCGTAGGCGCTGAGTGTGCGTAATACTGTTTCAAAGTGATGATAAGCAATCACCTCTACGAATACTTATAACAATTACACAGCAAAAATGCAAAATTATTCAACAAAGTCATAAATATAATTAAGTATGAAAGTAGAAAAAGCTGACCTGAAAATACAGCAGTATCTTGCAAAGCGCGTCTCCTAGAAACCAAGTTTCAGTGACATCCCACAGTACTGTCGGCGGCAGACAGAACAGAATCACCATAAAGTCGGCGACCGCCAAGTTTACAATGAAGTAGTTAGTGACAGTCCTCATGGTGTGGTTCCTGTACACGGCGATGCAGACCAGCGCGTTGCCCACCAGTCCTATCACAAAAACTGCGGAGTGCGTGCCTATCAGCACCCACTCATACGTCTGCGGGTAGATGTACTCCTGCAACATCTTCACGTATTCTTCTTTGGTTAGATTGCAGAACTCCGGTGAGCCAACGCACGGCTCATCTGTACCATTCACAGCTATCACACTTTGGTTTGCAGATTGCTTTCTATCAATGTCTTCGAGTGTCGCAGTCCTGGCGGCGCTCCTGTCTCTCTGCACGGCTCTCTTGAATCTAACGGATAGCACTTTCTCCTCTGTGTCACCCACTTTAACTGTCGCGACATCTTTGTCTCGGTACAAAGCAAATTCCTCGTTTGCTTTAGTTTCAAAACAAACGATTATATTAATTAAAAATAAATTAACAATAACTATCGAGTTAATACATTTGATAAGATTGAAATTCATTTTGGCGTTTTCAAATGTCAACTGGATCGTTCAATCTGGAACAAAAGGGAAACATAGAGTTACATCTTCTTCTTCTCCGTATACATTTAACTTTTATATTTGAGAGTTATGAGATAAGAGTAGGGAATTAGAGTATAAAGTTATGGAATCAAAAGTTCTCAAATTACTTGTCTTAAACTAAATTTTTGGTGTGACCCCTTTGATCCCTTTGGAAACGGAACACAATATCAAGGGTTCATTAGGAGGTTAGAAGACAATAATTCCCGTGTGCCGGGGGAGGGTTGAGGGGAGGGTGTTCAGGTCGATGTACCAGCACTGGCACAGCTCGGTGACATTTACTGGTTTTGTTTTAATTCATCATAATCTTATCTGTAAAATTAGGCAGCTACGTCGGTATCAAAAAAATAGATAAAAGAAAAAAAAGTGGTGTTGCGTGTTTATTTTTGTTGCATAGCAAAGGGTGGCAAACAAACAAAGAAGCGGCCTGACAATTTTGCAATCTCGGCTTACATTAAGTTCGTGCTCTGCTGAAGTCGTCGAAACAATATTGAGAGCTTATTTAGTAAAGTTTATAGTCTGCGGTATCAAAAACCAAACTTTAACAGAGAATACACAAATTATACAACATTAGCAAAGAAAATATTAAACAAAGTAAAGAACCTTAGTTACTATATATACCAACTGTCTACCGAACAAACACGAAAATAGAAGGGAAACATTATTTTCCCGTTCTATTTTTTTCTCGACGATTTAAATCAGCCATCTTTGACATAATTATGTGTTTTCACTAGGCCCCGAATTGTAGCGGAGGCACGTCGGAGCCCATTACAGCCGCGACCGAACACAATGTCATTTATGATTGGTCACCACATTCATATAACTAGGATTTTAAATTCCTCTATACAATTGCATTTTATCCATATTTGTAATTTAGTTTATATATATTATAATATTATATTTATGTTCAATTATTTTCGCGTCGCACGTGAATTGTTATAGTTAACAAAGTTTGAATTTAATTTACATTTTACTAATTTTATACACGCGAAAGTTTTGATGTATGGACACTGCCTGGAGGAACACATACTCTGCTTAACAAGTTAACACATGTTAACCTCCCTCACAATTCTCATTGAAATAAGACACTACAGTGTTTCAATACAAGTTTTCTAAAGTCGAAACCCACAGTGCGATCTATTAATATCCTTCCACTTTATAATGTAAAACATCCGAAGGCAAATTGTGCCAGAGATTGCTGAGCTCATCATTTCTAAAGGAACGAAGATCAACGAACTTATGGATCTTTTGCAAAGGAATGAGAGCTCCGGACAATTTTTCTTATCCTTATTTCATTATGAAAATTCATAGCTTTCAATTTTGTCGCTCCAATTTTGCTTGACTGCTTCTGAGGTGTGAATATACGCTTCCCTAAACTTAGTCAAATCGACTGTCGCGAGAATACGTACATATCGCCTCGGATAACGCCCGGCGTACACAAAGTAACATAAATCTTCAAAACCCTGAGATTTTAGTCGCTAAGCGACTTACGAAATACGATATCATAAAGCTATATGCTTAAGGATAATAGAGTGGTTTAAAGATGTCGGAGCGAATCTATTCAGTTGCCATGTAGACGCAATGCCTGTAATGAGCGAATACACGACTCGAGTCGACGATTCAACGTTGTGTGTACGGAGCGCGCGCAACGCGATTCTCACGACGCAAGTATACAATATTAGTTTCGAAAAAATATGTTGCCTTGTGTACGAAGGGTATAACACGACACCTCGACGATGAGTTCGGTGAGAGATTCTTAGCAAGGAAATATAACCTCGTAAACTAAATGTGTATTAGATCAAAAACATACATTTCTAATAAAATTAACAAGAAATAGGTTATCCTAAAAATTGTATGTTGTTAAAAAAATACTATGTAGCTTTGTACTCGTAATTGTTATAGAGTTTGTTGGCCACTTACAACACAAAGTTCAACATAAAAGTTTAATTTTTTCGGGGCTAATCTCATAATTTTTGTTTAAATTCAAAGTAAATGAGAAAAATATAATATATATATATATAAATGTTAAATACCGCAACAATTATATATATATCATTTCTTAGACACAAAATGAAAGTATTTTACTGTTCATTAAAATTATGGCTCCGATCAACTGACTTTGTAAAAAGGTTATAAACCCCGTATTAATTTAGAAGCACTGTTTATAATTTAAATTTAAGACTAGATTAATAGATTAGCTAGAGAAGGGCATTTACCAACATGCTATAAGGACATTTAACACCAGGAGCAGAGCAAAAAGAAAAAGGATCCTAAAAGTGTGTGAGCACTTCCTTCATGTCAACAAACAAAAGAATACGGACACCTCTAATGGAGGCTATTGTACTTTCGCTTCAATAATTAAACACACACAAAGGCTTCCATTGTGATATTTCAACCCATAACAATAACTTATCACATATCTTATTTCATCAACCTGAAAGAATATATAGGATCGGTCGTTCACAGTACACATAGGAATAAAAATATTCTGATCGTTGCTAGGTCCGGGTAAGACAGTTTTTTATTGCATCAAAAACCATTGATTTTCGTTTTTAATAAATGTTGTCGTCGTTTCTGCTACACCCTAACAGATGGCGCTGTGGCGAGACCGTATTTGTCTAAACGCGATGTTGACTACCTTGTCCCGCCACATATAGATAGCTGCAGGTCACGTGTTCTGTGTTGTTTGGTTCACGGTTGTCTTTGCGTTTGTTGGTTGCGATAGTTGTCATTTCGTTACTTTGGTCGAGTTATCTAAATTTTAGACGTAGTTACGTAGGAAACAAACAGTAAGTTAACTTAAAAAGCCGACTTCGGTTTGGAAGGTTATCATATTTTGAGATTATCGTAGCGAAAGCTTCGAACCCTTTTCTAAGTATATATTATAAACTCTTATGCGGTTTACTTATCCTCACATTAATGTATAATAGTAACATTTGAAAACTATTGTTGTTATACAATCAAAATTCGGAATAAGTAAGTCACGTACACATAGCGAAGGTAAAATAGGCTAAAATGTTCATAGCTGTACATAAGAAAGAACATTATCAGTTTTACTTTTCTCGATACATTGAAATATGTGATGTTGGCCAAGGTGGACTGAGTCAGGCTGCCCACGCCCACGCCGTGGGGATGGGTGGGATACGTTCCTCACATTCTTAGGCAATAAATTTTTCTCCGGAGTATTAGAATTCTTTCCTTGCCGCGCAGCGTTTGTACAATATTTAGGAAATAGATTATTGTTTACAAAACTTTTTGTTTTCTTTTGTATATTACATTAATCACATTCGTAACGATATCAAATTAAACCAAAATGAAACAAGAAGGTGAATTTTTATATTGAAAAAATGTAATGAAGTCAACTTAATGATAGTTATGTGATCGTTCTATCAATGTTATAAGACTTTGTCATTACGCGAACGGATAAATAAATAAATATTGATCCACAAAAGTTTACAATATCATAGAACTGCCTCCTGCGGTAGGTGGGAAGCTGTGCTACAGTATATAGTGCCTTCTCTTAAACTAGGTCTTATATAGGTTCTAATCTATGCAGTATGTATGTGCGTGTGTGCTGGAGAGGGATATAAATAAAAGCTTGAGTTTGAGAACATGAAAAAACTTAAGCTACAAAAAAATTAAAAAGACTCATATGCAAAGCAAGACAGGAGTGCCTAGTTGAGTAGGGCAGATCAGGGGGAGATAACTAGTGTATTAGTACAATTTAATCAAACGCGGCGCTGACAGCGATCCTTGTTAACATTTTCTTATCTACTAAATTGGCTCGGTTATGGACTAATCATAAAAAGTATGTGATTATTGTGCGCCCCGCACCGCGCCGGCACCGCGCCGACACCGCGCCGACACCGCGCCGACACAGCGCCGGCACGACAACCCGCCGCTCCCCACATCCATCTATCATACTATAATAATTTATTACTTTAGATATACATTAATCAGTCATTTAATTTCTGTGATTCTAATATGCTTTAAGAAGGTTGTTTTAAATTCTAAAATTTGTTAGAAAAATAAGCAAATAAATATTAGAATTTATTAAGGGACGATCGGATACGAATTCAATATTCCATCTCGAAGCATTTTTATCTACGAGATTTTTTTACTTAAAATTATATGGTATTGTACCAAAACAGATATTTTTCACAGGCTTACTATTTTGAATACCCGTTATTTTTTTTAATATAACTTCTGAGCGCTTGATGAATGTAGTATCAGGGGTTTCAGTATTATCCATTCAGTATGGGACATCCTGTATTTACTCCGCAGTATGTGGGAAACGTTTCATACAAGGCTTCAAGTTAATTAACAAGTTATTGCATCAAGCACTATTGCATTTATGTCGATAATTACAGTAAGCAATAAGTATCTTAAAATATCGATTTATAAATTCCTTAACAATGAAATAATTTGAATTGTATGTTACACATGTACTATAATTGTTTCTTATAAATTGTATTATATTTTGTAAATTCTTATAGAAATAAATACCTTATAATTAAAATTAAACAATCTTATTTAAAATTTAATAAATATTATAAACCACTTACCAATGAAAATGTTTTAATAATTTCTACAACAAACACAAATTAAAACATATCACAATTTATTTTTTAACAACTTGTATTCGCACTGAAAGTTTCGCGAAAGCTCTTCGCGCAGAAGCTTTCCTTAATGTGTTGTAGTGAAGACGCGCGCGGCGGCTCGCGGGTGCCAATAGACTGATGAGAGCCGGCGGTGCGGAGTGCGGCCTCTGTGCCTCTGCCTCTGTTCCTGTCCTATACACCTAGTCAGTGCTGGCTGCTGGAGACCATTCCCTCTGTATACTTACTGTTACGTTACTGTGCGTAAGAACTGTTAATGTTTGGATTTTTGTAGGCAAACCGTCATTTTCAGAGACCAAAATGATTGTGGTAAAGATATCGTCATCCCTGTCATTATCTTAAAAAAGGAG